CCTGCTGAATAAGTGCCAACCTCAGAAGTAATGTCCTTTATTAGAAAAACGAGGCAGCTTTTTAAAAAGTTTGATAAGTTTTTTGGTAGTCCTGTTTCCTCCCACAAAAGGATTCATTTGATGCACTGTCCCCTTTTTACAGCTCTACAAAAAGGAAAGGGGTTTTCTTTTACTGGCTTTTTAAATGACAGCTCTCTGGCCAGTAGAAGATGAATGAATGAAATATACTTTCTGTCTCCTTGAGGCTCCCTGCGTTTTCCTTAGGGGCTTCTAGGGTTGGCCATTTTGCCTCAAGAGACCTGTAAAATTTTAAATACTGGCTAAAAACAAACAAAAATATCTATGCATAAAATACTAGAAGGAAATGGATTAAAATGTGAACAGGACTGTTTGGGATTCTTTTTCAACTACTTTGGGTTTTGTCCTTTCCAAATTTCTTTAAAGAGCATAGGGAAAAATAAATGTTACTTTTTAGTACTATGATCCATATTCAAAACACAGTCAAGTAAGATGTGAATTGGAACAATATAGAGAAATATATTTTTTATAAGAAAATAGAAAGCATTTGACCCTGTTGCTTAGATACCCATTTTCTAGTATTGTCTATTGGGCGACATAGGATTATGGTAACAGTCTCACTATTGAGTTATTCCGTGAGTAAAATTTGTATATTAAATGTTGTAAATTCTATGCATTTGTTTTTAATTTTAAGAATCAGTCTGTAGACTATGAAAAAGCTCATAGCTGATAAAAATTAGAAGAAAAAAATACACATTCCTCATTTGACATTCTAGCAACTCATTACGTAACGCCTAAGAGTGCTATTTAGAGAAAATATGACACAGATGACACCTCAAAAGACTAAATAATAGTACAACTAAGGAAAATCGAGATGTTTGGAGAAGCAGCAGTATAAGTAGATAATTTTGCCAAATTTTTCATTAGAGTTTAAAATGAATAAATCAAGCAATAAAGGCAAAAGTATATTAGAATTCTGTTGTTTTGATAGGAACCAATAGAAGAACTAAAATCAGAAACACTTAAAATCACAAAAAGGCTGCTCCTGGGAGTTTGAGCTGGGGGTTGGGCAAGGATAGTTGTGCGCTTTTATTCAGTTGTAATTCATTTTACCATGTGTTCCTACTACATGTATAGTTACAAAACTACTTTTAAGTTTATTGTGTAGTACAGGGGTCCCCAACCCCCCGGCTGTGGCCTGTTAGGAACTGGGCTGCACAGCAGGAGGTGAGCGGCAGGCAAACGAGCGAAGCTTCATCTGCCGCTCCCCAGTGCTCGCATTACTGCCCCCCGCTCCCCATCTCATGGAAAAATTGCCTTCCTCGAAACTGGTCCCTGGTGCCAAAAAGGTTGGGGACCGCTGGCATAGTAGGTCTAGGAGGTCTGGATATCAGGGAATTGGTAGGCATATTGTTAGCTAAGGTGATTATTTGGGTCAATAAAATACTTTTAAAAACCTCCATGTTGGGCTTCCCTGGTGGCGCAGTGGTTGAGAGTCCACCTGCCCATGCAGGGGACATGGGTTCGTGCCCCGGTCCGGGAAGATCCCACATGCCGCGGAGCGGCTGGGCCCGTGAGCCATGGTCGCTGAGCCTGCACGTCTGGAGCCTGTGCTCCGCAATGGGAGAGGCCACAACAGTGAGAGGCCCACATACCGCAAAAAAAAAAACAAAACTAAACAAAAAAAAACCCTCCATGTTGTAAAATGTTAAGAAGAAATGTGTCAGCCAGTCTAATAATTAAGAGAAATGTCCCCAAAGCTTGCAGCACGTGTGTATGCTACAGACATAGTTTTAGGCACAGAGAAGCATTATAGGCATTGGGAGGAGATAAAAAAAAAAAAAGACTACAGGGGCTATTTCCCATGCTTTGAAGCTCTGCCAAAGCCACTGGTCTCTGGGAGGAACTATATTTGTTACATATGGCGCTGGGGAGTCATGACTTCTTTGCCTGATCACAGCAGTCTGTGTCTGTGTCTTCAGCCTGCAGGGATCCCGGTGTGCCGTTGCCTGTGAGGACGGACGGTACTTCAACGGCCAAGACTGCCAGCCCTGCCACCGCTTCTGCGCCACCTGTGCTGGTACCTTCTCTCCCGGTCCTCTTGTTTATTCTTCTGGCTCTGGTTTGGCTTTTGTTTACCTGTCTTTATCCATCACTCATGCAAATCCATTTGATATTTTTAAAATAAATGCTGGAGACGCATGGGTCTCTTCTGATAATCATGCATGTATTCTCAGAGGTCAGTCATCAGTAGCCCACGCTCATTGAAAACTTCAATTTCCCAGTGATACCTCCTTCGCTTTCCAAAGAGATTTGATGCTTTTGGCAAATGGGTTCAATGTAAAACTGGAGCATTATTTTTTCCAAAGAACATAAGGAAAAGCACAAATATCATAATTATTAAAATTACAACCTATTAATGCCATTTTAACCAACTACGCAAGCAGCAGCCCATCATGCAGCCTCTTCTGAGGTTTTGTTTCTGTCTTCGGCATCTGTCTTGCTTTTAAGGAGCAGGTGCTGGTGGGTGTATTAACTGCACAGAGGCCTACTTCATGGAGGATGGGAGGTGCGTGCAGAGCTGTAGTATCAGCCATTACTTCGACCACTCTTCAGAAAATGGATACAAATCCTGCAAAAAGTAAGTGGATCCACCCCTTAAGCCCTAGTGTTTGGCTACTGGGTTCCTTATTTGACTGCCTTCATAAATAATAAGAAACAGAACTATTAATGAAAAATAAGGTTCAAACATTTACCTGTGGACACTGTGCTGAACCTTTAACCCAACTGATTTTTTTTTCCCCCTCAGAAGAACTTTAAAACCTCTAAAGCAATATTTCTGTTTCAAGTGCGTGCTCTCTCCCCTTTAAAATCATAGTCTACCTGCTAGGCTTTCTTTAATGTTGTCAAACCCAGCAGTTATTGTAAGAAAAGATTTTTGTGGCATCTTCAAAGGGAGAAGATTAAGACATTAAGAGGCTGGTAGCAAACACATCTTCTTCTGTGCCCGATGTGCAAAAGGATGATAAATTGTACATTCTCCCCTTAGATGTGACACCAGCTGTTTGACATGCAACGGTCCGGGGTTCAAGAACTGTACGAGCTGCCCCAGTGGGTATCTCTTAGACTTAGGAATGTGTCAAATGGGAGCCATCTGCAAGGACGGTGAGTACAACTGCTCGTTCTGATCTTCTGAGCAAAGTGTGATCGTTCTACGTTAAGGTCTAATATATTTCCACTTGAAAATGAAACTATCAAGCGTGCCCCAGATAGGACACGCCCAATATCTTGGTGGCGTTCATTCATCTCGAACGTCTACCCTCAGTGGGTTTGGTTTTTTGGTTGTTTTCATTGCAAGAAGAACTAAAGCATCCACTAACCAAGATGGCACTAGTCAATTTTTTTTTACGTAGTAAACTTGGTTCTTTACAACTTTAGAGTTTTGGGTTCACAGCAAAATTGAGCAGAAGGTGCAGAGAGTTCTCATATAGCCCCTGACTACCCTACACACATATACAAACACACACACAAACACTCCCATTATCAGTGTCCCTCACCAGAATGATACGTTTGTTATAGTTGATACCTACCTTGACACATCATTATCACCGAAGTCTGTAGTTTGCATTAGGGTCCACTCTTGGTGTTCTATGAGTTTGGACAAATGTATAAAGACAAGTATCCACCACTGTACTATCATACAGAACACCTTCACTGCCCCGAAAATCCTCTGTGCTCTGCCTGTTCCTCCCTCCTTCCCTCCCCCTGCCCAACCCCTGGAAACCACTAATTGTTTTACTGTCTTAATAGATTTGCCTTGTCCAGAATGTCATATAGTTGGAATCATACATCAAACACTAACTAGAAAAGGCTACCTACTGTATTTTCTCCAGTCTTTTGGCATATGTACTTTTCATCAGATTTTTTAAATACCATATACATGGAGTTTTGTATCTTGCTTTCTGCACTAAGCATTAGATAAACATTATCCTATGTTTTTAACAAAGTCTTCAGAAACTTCATTTTTAATAACAGCTTAATATTCTATCATGTGCAGATGCCACAGTTTATTGCCACTCTCCTCTTATTTGCATTGTTTATAATTTTGATATGTAAATAACAATCAAATGGTATCTGAATCTTTCATTAAGCTGTGATAGATAGGCATCTATCTAATGACAGAACCAACTACAGATTGGTTCTAAGGTTAATGTTGGTCTATTTTTCTTTTCATTGCACCACTGGTTCTCAATCAAAATGCCAGGACCCCAGACCTTCCCCAAAGATTCATTTAAATTGGTCTTGGGGTACAGTTTGAGCACTGATAGCTTTAGAATCTTCTCAGGTATTTTTAATGTGCCGCCATTCCCCCTGACAATTTGGGAAATACCAAGTTCTCTCACTTTTCTAGCCTCAGTTTCCCCATCTATAAAATGAATGAATTTAAATTATTCCAACTCCAGCCTTTTGTGAACTTTGACTCTCTATATAGTTCATGCAGAGAGGGCCCTAAAATTTGTGCCTAAATTTTACGCAGACGTGCATCTCAACGATGTAGCAAGAAATGGTTTTGAACCATCGTTGTTCTAAACGTCTTTGGACTGTCAGGAAAATAGGAAAATAAAAAACTATGCATTTGCATAGTTTCCCTGGGTTTAATCTTTGTCTTCTTTTGAATGGTTCCTCTTCTGAAAATTTCACAAGAGGCAGAAGCGTGCTGTGGTTGGGAGAATGGGGATTCAGGAGTCAGAATGCTGTCATTCATACCTAGCCTCCAGACCTTGGGCAGGTTATGAGCTTTTCTGGGCCTCACTTCCCTCATCTGTAAAAATGAGAAGGATAATGCTGTCGACCTCATATGGTTATTCTACAACATCCCGTTAGGAATCTCAAACATCAAAAAGATCTGAGCATGCGATGGCATGCATAGGAATATCATCTATGGTCTCATATCCACAGAGCATCACAGGTGACTTTGCATCTTCATAGCTTTTCTAATGTATGATTGATCTGGCCGGGACGGGCAGACCTGCTCAGGCTCTGTGTTCAAACTTTTCGTGGCCAGGGCTAATTCTCACCACACAACATGGAGGTGAGAAGATTGAGGGATGGCACCCCAGGTACTACGTAAGTATCACCTTTTAGTTACCAGCCAGTGCTCCTTTGAAATTTTCACCCATAGCACTTGGTACCGGGCATTTCAAGGTTTGTGATGCTTTAACGGCTTTCCCTAAACCACAGTAAGCATGGGATAATTTATGCCAATGGCACTTTGGTAAAAGTGGAGTGTCAGGATTGCAGGTAAAAGTGGAAAATGAAGAACCATGATTTGCGATGAGTCCATTTTCAGGTCGGTTAAAGAATGAGATCATTGACGGCTCACCAGGCTTTTCAAATCACGTGGCAGTCGCATACAGGGATGTGCTATTTATTTTCTTTCAACTGTCATATTTCAGTGATTCTAAGACATACTTTTTAAATATATTTTAACAGCTCTGGAATCAGATGCATCTTATAATTCATGGCAGCTTACAACTGCTTTTGATCCACAGGTTGATGTGACACAGTTGTCATCGCCTGTGACTTAGTCACAGATATGTCTAGTCAACTGAGTTAGGCACTTGATCACTCCTACTTGTGTTGCATTTAATTGCACTTCATAATAGCTTGAACAAGTTAAACTATTTCTCAATATTCAAAGGAAGAATTATTACATAAGCCCAGAAACAAAACAGCACGTTATATAAATTTAACTAATACTTTCAATAAGCATAAAACTAATATTCTGATAAGAGGCTATTGTGTCACCATTTAATATCAATTTTTTTCTTGGTAGTACTTAAAGTAGTGGTGCATCTGAAATCCAGTGTCTTGGATTCAGTGAAATATAGTATAAATGACTGTATACGCTCTGCTCTAGGTAACTCCAAAAAGAAAAATTCCTTGCCTATATTATTATTGATTTCTAATTTATTCTTTGTCTAATCTTTTTTTTCCTTTCATAAATGGATACCAATCACATTTACCGTTGGACTGCAATATCTCTCCTTGAAAACAATGCTGTTGACTGAAATCACTTTGGGTGGACCAAATTTCTTCCTGTTGACTGCTCCCGAATGATCTCTTCCAATCCCCCCAATCTGCCTCTCTGGCCAATCACAACCTTCTTCCGTGTGTGTCCATCATGCTGCTCTCGTCCTCAACTTCCCCTCTGTCTTGCTGACTTCCTGGAAAAGCAACGGAAGAGTCCTGGGCGGAAGGAGGCTTCTGTATGCTAGTGAAAAAGAACAATCTGTGCCAACGGAAGGTTCTTCAACAACTTTGCTGCAAAACCTGTACATTCCAAGGCTGAGCTGCCATCCTAGATTTCTTTGTTCCTGTAGACTTATAGATTACTCCATATTATTATTAAAAAGAAAAAAGCAAGCAAAAAAAAAAAAAAAAAAAAAAA